GATCTAAAGAGGCATTTCTCGTAGTGAAATGAAAAAGACTCTATTACCTGGTTAATATTAGGTATCTTTTCATTAACATTGTGTATACTAAGCATTTAGGCATCATTCTACATTGCAAGCTTCAATATTTATAAACAAGCTACAATCGTTGCCAAAATACCTTGGACCGTACAATTATTTGCCTTCAGCCTAACATTTTTCTCCTTTATGTTTTCACAGTTTTCCCCTCGTAGCCCCCTTTCATCAATGTTGGATCTTGTTTTGGATGCTTGTGTACTATGGTAACATGATCAATGACAACATTGTATTTAGGGGGTCAGGGGGGATGAAATTGTCTGCGGGTGTTGCTTAAAATGAGGAAATTCGCTGGCCGGGAATGGTCCAAGGTTTTTGTCAACTATCTACATTACAAGCTTCAATATCTATAAAAATATTTTGCAAGCATAACTATCCATAACAATCTACATTGTAAGCTTAAATATCCATCATTCTACATTGCAAGCTACAATATCTATAACAATCTACATTGGCAAGCTTAAATTATTGAYCTATAACAATTATTTTCAGACAGAATATGTAGCAGCTCATCATAAGCGACGGGAATTTATAACAGGTTTTACAGGTTCTCGAGGTATGTTTATTTTATGGCGTCTTTGATGTGTGTGGTCGGAAGGTTGATTAGATAATCAACTTTCTCATGGATTTTTAGAAATTGGGGTTCTCCACCACATTCAGGAAGATATAGTCCGTGGAATACAGTGATATTTTATCACATATTATGATAGAATTCTATATGTACTTCAAATTATCGCAAATGTTTTGAAACAAAGTACTCAACATTGTCAACTGGTATTGCATATAAAATTGTACTTAAATACTAGATTGATTCATTGTTTTATAATTGTTACAAGCTAGTTTAGTATGTTCGTCAGAGATGACCACACTCGTCAGGCAAGTTACAATGAATGAATGACCGTGTTAAAGTTTGCTGATAGTTTAAAATTCTATATATATGTGTACGTCACAGCGGACACCTTGGATCATGTCCTCGAACGTTCCAATTTCAAATAAATAATCGCAAAAACACATTTATGAATGCTTTGAAATAAGAAAAAAGGTTACTGGAACATTTCGTTAATAATATATACAATCATAAAATATGTTATTGCATATAAACTCTAATGTAAATACCATTTACACAGAGGAAATAATAAAATATCTTGCATCTTGTATCTATCATAGGTACCGCCATAGTAACCCAACATAAAGCAGCCATGTGGACAGACGGTAGATATTTCGTGCAGGCAAATATGGAACTGGATTGTAACTGGACTCTAATGAAGGAAGGTAATACTATTTTTTGGCCCGTGAAATTGTGAAGTGGATGTGGCGAGGGGAAAGGTGGACTTATGAAGAGCATTGGTCATTCGATTTTTGAGAGAAGATGAAGGCTTAAAAGGAAAAGAGGAAAGGAATGAAACCAAATGATAAGATGAATGAGAAATAGTCTCCTTCACGGTTACCTGTGCCATCTTGGAAGGTAGCCGTGCCTTTACATCAAAGCGAGACAACCATTGAGCGTGCAATAATAGATACCTGTAAATAACAGTCTGTATAGGTGTGAAAGAAGGTTTCTATCATTGCACACTCAACGGTTGTCTCGCTTCGATGCAAAAGCACGGCTACCTTTCAAGATGGCGCAGGTAACCGTGAAGGAGACCATTGGTCACTTTTATTAAGTATGACTGAATGTTCTCTTGTTTTTAAATGCACGAAAAATATTTGACTATCCCATATAAGTAAATAAAGCTACTTTTTACTATGTTTTGTTTTAGGTATTATTACAACACCAGGATATGGACAATGGCTAAAAATGGTATGAAAATAACAATACATGTCACATTACACGAAAAAAAAAATACTTTTAAGTCATGTTTCAACTTATATTTATAAGTACTACTCTCAGTTTTGTTTTTAGATATAGAGGATATTACATGGCCGCGCGGAGATACGGATTTTATCTTCGAGTGTTGATGAGATCTCTCACGAATGAGCGTAGCGAACGAGTGATAGATTTTCAACACGAGAAGATCTTCAAGCGATCATGTAATATTCTGTTATCATATAATTAGATATGAAAGCAAATTATGTCGTAAAATACCTTTTTTCTTACTTTCACTATATAGAGAAACCTCGAATGTGTTATTTTCACTAGTGAAAATATCAATTTTACGTAATGGAGAAATATAGGTATTTCATAGATAATTGAAAATTAAACGAGACTTACCTGTAAGTTGAAGTTTGATGGTAATTCTATGGAGTCATCATGAAGTGTAAAGGGATCACATGCCCGCCCTAGTCTGTTAACATTCCCACCCTATTTATGCTGTTCAGCATTTGCTACGCCTTTAAATATTGACTTATGGGATTGGTATGTGCTATCTCATGTGATCCCTTTACACTTCATGATGACTCCATAGAATTACCATCAAACTTCAACTTACAGGTAAGTCTCGTTTAATTTTCAATT